AAGAATAACGAGGAGGGTTTGAAAACTCGCTAATCTCATAGAAATGGTTGATGAAGGTTAGGGATTGTCAAGTAAGCTATTATAGTTATAGTTATAGAAGCATGGAATCGCCTTATTTCTTGATTTTTAGCTTATTGTTTATTATTTTTATTTTTATTTTTTTAAAACATAGACAGATCTGGCTTTGGAATCGCCAAAGATGGATAGGTCAAATCAGATTGGACCATAGCGAATCTAGATCTTCCAATTTTTAGATACGGGTGATGAATAATTTGATGAGCAATATGCTTACTTCTTTTATATTGGAGATGTCGACAAATATTGGATCATTTGAACTTTTAGAGATAGAGTACCATAGTAACCATAACAATAAATGAAAATGTGGGGCACAATTAATTGGTAGTCCTTAATCGTACATTCACCTTTGGGTGTCCAAAAAAAAAAAAGGTTTCTATACTTCCCTGCAACATAGAAGATCTATGCTTCTCCTATTATCCGGCCATCCAATTTCGATCAAGTGAGCTACTCATCGTTTGATCTTATATCCGATGTCTCATAATATTTTATTTTTAATTTTTTTTATACAAATTATATGATTATGAAATTTGATATGTGCTATCTTCTCATTGATCATTTTATTTTATTGAAAATAATTTTTTTATATTTTTACTAGTGCCTGTTTAATAGAAGATTGGACGTTCAAAATTTGGTGTCAAAATGTTTTATATAAAAAAAATAAAAAAAAATGGTGTAGAAATGTGATATTGTGATTAGGACAATCTTAACCTTTTAGAACGAATGGAGAATGAATGGATAAGGCGAAATATGTAAGTTTTATGTTGCACGGGAAACATAGAAAGCATGATCATGCAAAAACTTTTTGACCTGCATTTTGTTTGCAGCGTATATATGGTGTCGCCCTTGTACCAAATTGTACATTTGTTCCCACGACTCAAGGGGGTTGGGTGAATTAAAAACTATTCAAATCATTTTTTATGTTTAAAATTAATAGTAAAAAAGTTGTAAGTTCAAGATTCGCCATATTTGAGTTTCATCAAAATGGGCGATTCATATCCAGCCTTGTAAGAGATTTGGATGTAGGATAGGTCTTGTGGTTGCATTAATTTCTGTGCATTCTCATCATCATCCAAGCTTTATCCAAACTCATTGGAGTGAGTTACACAAATCATGTTCCGTCAATTCACTTTAATAAAAGCCTCTGACTATATTTTTTTTAATAATTTCTTATTGTTTTACTAAATTGATACTAAAGTGATATAAAGACATTGAGTCTTTGGGGCTTCGAGTCCTCCTTTCACTGGGCGTTCAACATACGGCACTAAATGAACAACTCAGTCCCATAGGACCAGCTGGTTGTTTTGCCCTTTCTCTTTAGGGAGTTGGAAAATTGCAATGTTTTATTTTCTAATCAATTGAAGCTTGTTTGCTTTTGCTAAAAAAGGTGGGTGAGGTCCCGGCATGTGTTGCACTCGGCCCAACAGACAGGCATGTGGGAGTGCCCCGACTTTTTCCCAGTTGCTGAGGGTGGGGTTCTAAAGGGCCTCGATGGCTCAGCTATGGGTGAAGAGGGGGTTAAGCACGTCTTGAAGGTACTCTCTCTATCTCTCCCCTAATCTCCCTCTCATACAATTTTTCTCTCACATAGGGCGTGTTTATTTTATTGAAATCTTTTTAATTTTAAAAAAATTTCACGTTTGACGTACAGCTTCATTTAAAAGTTCAAAAAGTAATATTCCAATAAAAATTCTTAAAATATAAAAGATTAAATTCTTAAGGGGTAGGAACTTAATATTTCATAACGCTTTTGTTGATCATTATTCATTATGTATAATATAAATAGATAATATTAGGATTATTAATATGATATAATGTAATATTATATGATATATGATATATATTTATTATATTATATGTTATATATAATATAAATATACATTAATAAAATGTATAAATACATTATATTATATATTATATTATGTTATATATATATATAATAATGATCTTATGAGACCCTCCTACACTTATGTGTGTAGGACCCCAAAGGATCACCATTAAACTTGGCACAGATCTCTAGAAAAATCAAATCCCACACCCATGTGATAACTTTTTTAAAGATTCAAATTTAATGGTGATGCTTTGAGGTCCTACATACATGGG